GCATTAGAATTAAGTGCTTAAATCATCGTTTATTTGCTAATTTGAAAGATTTGAACTATCGTTAGCGATCTTATAATGATTAAATTTACCCATAATGGTTAAATTTGATATGAGTTTAAAAATATTATTAATCTAATTTATGAGCTTTTGAAAATTCCATTATTCAATAAGGCATTTTGAGTTCTGTACTTTGTTAAGTCTATATAATCTAGAAAAGGTATGTATTTCTTGTGTGAAGACATACAGTACTTGAAATTGTTAATAGCTTATTTGGTTGAGGTGAGCTTTCCTATCAAGAGCTTTCCTATCAACAAAAAGAAAAACTAACAAATATAATAGATTGTTATATTTACTTGGCAGTGAGTTAGACTTAGACTTACAATTTTTGTAATAGATAATACTGATAATACTGGGGCAGGTATTTTTAACCCTATTTGTAATTAAAAACTTCCAAAGAAGCACGTAGCACCTATTCTATTGAATTAGCACCTATTGCAGTACAAAAGGTCAATTAAGGTTGCAGCGCTCGGTCTAGTGGACTCTTATCTTATATGGGTATATTTGCATATGTAGAGTACAAAATACATACTTAGTGATTGTCCAAAATTGTCGTGAATCCTACTAAGAATATTGCGGCAAGTTTTATTAACTTTATCTGATATATATTACTATCTTTAGTTCTATATAAAGCTCTTGAAAGTTGAAAAACTTTTTTCTACTGTAAACTTTTTACAGATTACATTATTCATATATCCAAACCATCAGTTATCTACTAACTAAAGCTTCGTCATTGTCATGGCTCTATATCCATTTTCATGGCTATAGATCCATGCCCACAGTGTATAATCTAATGACAATATCCGGATACGATGTCGGCTAGTCACCGGAGATACGTTAGATTATATTCTTCATGTATCCAAACCTCCAGTTATCTACTCATTGAAGCTTCGTTACTGTCATGGTCCCACATTCATTTTCATGATAATGCTCCTATGCACACGGTGTATTGCCTAATGACAATACCCGGACATGGTGAAGTCTATTTACCGGATATACATTAGAATATTAATCATGTACCTAAACCTGCAGTTATAAAGTAACTGTTATGATTTCATATCCATTTTCATGGTTATAGACTCATGCTCACAGTGTATGGCCTAATGACAATACCCGATCACGATGAAGGCTAGATACGTCAGAAAAAAAACAAATAAAAATATATGTTTAATGTAACCTGTTAGAGCTGTGTTAAATTTACTTGAAATAACATATATCACTGTATGTAAAAATAACAAGAAACTTAATAATAGAAACAGAAACCAAATAAAATGATTAACTCTGACCAGCCTACCCTGTTGGTACTTCTTATTTATGTATATGTGATGACTTTGCAAATTTAAAAATTTATATTACCAAATTTAATTAATTAAATTGTAATTAATATTCAAAAATTCCCACACTTAACCGACAATGAAATTGTAATACCAGAAAACCAACAAAAGATGTAAATAGTAAAATACATAGCAAATACCAAAGTGAGAGCAAATACCTAGCAGCCAACAATGGACTTGTTTGGTTGTCCGACAAGTTCAATTTATGAAGGTTAAACACTTTGAAAAATATTGTTGACATTTCTAGTACGTCCGTCTTGTCTTCTCTTGTCTCTGTTTTTGTAATTCTTCAAAGCATTGTTTATTAATAAATATTTTCTTTGTTGGTGCTTGGCGGGTTTACTGAGTGATTTGCAGTTCACACCTGGTGGTGACTTCAACTTAGTTCCAACTCGTACCATATATGCAAAACTGAATTAAAAACGCATGTTAGAAAAATTTCTCAATAAAAAATAGTTGAATTTTTATTAAAACACAAAAAAAAATGACCAAACAAAAAACTTGAATTTTGGCATAATTTAATTTTGGGCAAATGAGGCTTGGTTTAAAAAAAATATTATAACAAAAAAAAATATTTGGAAAAAAATTATAAAAAAAAACAATAATTAAAAAAAAATAATATAATAAAAAAGAAAAACAATAATAATGATAATAAAAACTAAAAATAAAAGCGCGGCTTTTTTGAATTACATTTTCCTTATTTAATTTGCTAATTTTGTTTTTGTTTATTTTATTTCTTTGTACACATTTTAAAAATTTATCTATAAGATATTTACATATCTAAATACATAAGACTGCTGCATATTTTCTTTTACTGTGAAGTGTGTTCACAGTATTTTTATTCTGCATGTTCATTTCATATTATATTAGCCCATATATCATATATATATATATATATATATATGCAGTATATAATCCTATATATAGCTATATATCATAAAAATATTTTTAAGTGAAAAGCTTTGTTGTTATATGTTAAATGATGTAGTCGCCGTCAGTTTGTCTGCACGCAACAATTTTTATTATTCCTCATTTTACATTGTATCTGTCTATCGTTGTTGATATAATAGATAGAAAAAAGCTTATTATTGTTATGTCAATGAAATCTACTTATACCTTCTGTTTTTTGAACAATTTGATTAGTTACCATGAGCTAATGCTCGTAATATTGGATATGTCTCAAATCATTGTGGCATTCGGAAAGGTTCTATTTAATATCTACAAGCATGTATGTACTTTTTTGTCATATATACGTTATGTAGAGAAACTTCAGTCTTTCAGTTACAACAACTAAGAAAGTATTTTTATTAGAAGTAACCAAAAAAACAAAAAAAAAAAAGATTGACAAATGATTGATATTTATTAGAAATTGTAGAAGAATAAAACTTAAGTGATTTATATTATTGCTAAGGAGTTTTCAAAGTAAGTCAAAATACTTCACGTTTATTTAAAAGAAACTTTTTAGATTTAAAAATTATTTTAATATAATACAAAACCAAGACTTATAAAATAAGTAGAAATTTTCCAAAATGAGTATTGGTAGTGACAACTAAAAATATCTATAAAATACAAAATTCACAGATCTGCTGCCAAAATTCTGGTGTTGAGTTTTAGATAATATATATATATAACATAAAAAAAAATAGTCATAAATTTTATTTCTCTTAAAACTCTTAATAAATTTGATATCTTGAGTATAATCTCTCCTTAAAGTTGTCGTACTTGATTTTTAAGTTCATATCTGAAGTGGAAATATTGCATGCGTATAATATAATTAACAATATAATAAAAAGTTTCTTTAATAATTAATAATAATAATTCATTAATTAATATTCTTTAATAATTAATTTTAATTGTTTAAAAAAAAATCTACTGTAGTGGTGTTACTTACTAAAAGAAAAAATTGACATTTGAGTTTATATAGGTTTGCCGGATTTTAAGGCGTTTTTGATATTTACGATATTTAAAAACAAATTGAATATCATCTCATAGAGCTATAAGACAGTACACCAATTTTTCCAAACTCAAATATCGCTTTGGATTTGAAAGCAATGGAAATATATGGATGGTCCTTAAATGTATGAAACGATATGTCGTTTATGTAAAATCGTACATAGAAACTGTAAGTGTACTTACGAATACATGAATAAGCGAATAGTTATTTTTATGTAGCTCTGAAGGTATATGCAAAAAGCGACAGGCTGCCCTATTTAGCACTATCTAATCTCAGAGTAATCACTAATCGCACGGAGCGGTACGCCGATCTTAGATCAGTCATTGAATAATCACGAGACTTATGAGGAATCCACAAATTAGTCAGTGAGATGGGTGGGAATCTGCAGAAAACCCGCAGCTATCAAAGAGTAAAACTGCCCAGATGCATTAACTCAGAAAAGGCTCAACATAACTTAAAATTAAAAATCACATTTTTTTTTTGAATTTTAAGATACATGTTTTGTTTTTGGAATAAAAACAAAGCATTTGTGAGACAAAACGGGGTTCGTAAAAATTTTACCAGAACATTTTGTCATTGTATATACACATTGTTTTAAACTGTTATTGCTTTGAAGAAGATAGAATACCGGCTTAAGTAAGCTTGTTTGGTACACACCACCGGAGTTTTTATTGTTTTATGTAATAATTTTATATTATATATATACTTAAGGTATACAAAATTTTTTTGAGAGAAATGTTCAAAATTATTGTACTATATATATACTCGTACGCAGAGAAACTGCGTAATCCTCATAATCCTCACTGCAGAAGTTGTGTAAATTCGCAGGAAAAAGAAACCATAATACATTTTCTATGTAAATGCCCGGCTTTGGCGTTCAGAAGAAATAGATTTTTAGAAAGATACTTCTTTGACAGTTTATCAGACTGTTTATCGGTGAAGACGAGAGACCTTTAAATTATCTAAATTTAACGGGATAGATTTAATCTATACTTTTCTGTATTTGGGATTTTTGTGAGGAATGTGGTAGCAAAATGCGAAAAATCGCTTACTGAGGTACAACTAACCAACAGTATAGATACTCGTATAAGATAAAAAAATCGGACATATATATGATATATATATTTCAGAATGACTAGTTTGTTAAATAATTTCGAATATTTAAAAAAAAAAAATTAAATAAAGTTAATTTTGCACAATAAATAATGTGTTATAAAAAAATATTACTAACTTATTTAATGCTGTTTTGAAAAATTAAATATTTACAAAGTCTAATCATTTATGAAACTATTACTGATCCTACAGTGTCTTATTTAATGCTATATATTGGTTTTTAAAATTATATACCATATTTATAATGTTTACAAAGAATACAATCATAATACATGTGTTATATACCTATTGTGCAATATATATTATATATATTAACACAATATGTAATTTTTTTCAGAGCTTATGTTTGAACAAGAAAAAACTGTGCCTAACCCTAGTTTAAAATAATAATATTTTTTAGTATTTTTAATATTTTTTATTATTTGATAACATAATTATATATATTTTCAAATTCGCTTTTTATTTTCATATTTTGATGTATTTTATTTAAAAATTAATTTTTTTTTCACTTGTAAATTTGCATTAAATTAACTTTTTGCCTTCAGGCCTTCAATGCCGTCTTTAAAGCACTACAAGGGACATTTGCGTCGAGACTTTTTCGGTGATGTAGCAGGGCTGATTGGAGTGTAAGTGAATGGTTGTAATATTTTTCAAAACAAGTTGTAATTTTATATATTTTTTTTCAAATAGTCATGGCAAAAATTGGGAACTCTTTCGTCAAGAAGTGCAGCAAATTTTATTACAACCTCAAACTGCTAAAAAATATATACCACCACTAAATGATATAGCTACAGAGTTTATGAGCAGGTATAGTTAAATTAAAAGAAAAAAATTTTTTTTTTATAGTTGTGTTTGCATATCTATTAAGAAAACAATGAAGATTTTAATTAAACACCTATTGTAGAGTCCATGAAATGCGGAATGAAAATGACGAACTGCCAGCAAATTTCCTACACGAACTATACAAATGGGCACTTGAATGTGAGTTTCTATAAAAGTCTGCAATTTATTTACAAAACAAAAAAAAAGACTATTCATACTGCATTTTGTTGCATTTGTACTTTAGCTGTTGGACGTGTATTTTTGAACACACGCTTGGGTTGTTTAACACCGAATGGCAGTGAAGAGTCGCAACAGATAATTGATGCCATTAATACATTTTTCTGGGCTGTGCCGGAGCTTGAATTACGTATGCCACTTTGGCGTTTCTATCCGACAAAAGCATACAGAAGTTTTGTAAAGGCATTGGATAGTTTTACTGAGTAAGTGACAAAGTGATTTAATGCAATTAACAATCATTTTAATGTTTCATTTTAATGGGAAACATTAAAGAGTGTGTATGAAAAATATAAGTCGTACTATGGATAAATCCGAATCTTGCGTGACACCAAAAGATGAAGCCGATATCTCAATCGTTGAGAGAATTGTAAATAAAACTGGTGACCGAAAATTGGCTGCTATTTTAGCTTTGGATATGTTTTTGGTTGGAGTTGATACGGTATTTTCACTGTGATTTTTATATAAAGAATATATTATAAATTTTTCAAATTGTTTCAAATTGATAGACATCGGTTGCAGCTTCATCAACCATTTATCAATTGGCAAAAAATCCTGACAAACAGCAAAAACTCTTTGAAGAACTGAAACAAGTATTTCCTACACAGGAAACAGAAATCAACCAAAACGTACTCGAACAAATTCCATACTTAAGAGCCTGCATAAAGGAAACATTAAGGTAATTAATTTCGATTGGTTGATTTATAGTTATATGATTTTTTTTTTTTATAAAAATAATTGCAATAATTTTTTAATTACATAACTGTAGAATGTTTCCCGTGGTCATAGCGAATGGCAGAAGTTTGCAGTCAGATGCTGTCATAAATGGTTATCACATACCAAAAGGTGTAAGTATGCCAATGCCAGCAACATTGTATAATTTTATTTTATTTAATTCAATCAATATGAGAAAATTTGAGTAAAAAAAATATAAAATAAATTGCTAAAATTTACATTTACACAAAAATAAATAAGCAACATTTTGAAACTGTTCTCATTACATACCATAATTGTTCAGTTTTATTCAACTTATAGCATATATGTACCCTACATCTCCTCTATTTAAACAATTATGTATTAAAGTAAATAAGTCAAACATTGAAAATGTCCTCATAACATACTTAATTATTGTTCAATTTATATTAATTATGCATTTAATATCCCCTCACTTCCATACCGCATACTACAACTATCCATTAATATAAAAAAAAAGGAGAAAGAAGTCAAACTGCCAACTAATAGCACTAAAAAAAATTCTAAGTGCAAATAAAAAAAATGCCTACATTAAAAAAAAACGATTAATATTAAAAAAATCGCCATTATAAATCTATTGATCTGGCTACAGTTATTTTTGAGGTAGTCCTATATCGTCTACTTTTAGAGTATGTCGAACCCATTTGAATTATTTATTCTCGAGCACATACACAACTAAAGTTAAACACTGATATTCTGAGCTTTTTGTCATAAGAATTTTGTCTCGAATGTTTGGATATTGCTCAGTTTATTTTTCTATATCGGTCAGATTTTAAAGACCTACAATGAAGTTGGCTCTACCAATGATTGGTGTACCTGCAACTTCGTTAATAATATTGCTTATTATCACACACGATAAAGAACTTCCAGTTGTACGTTTTCAAAGTATTAATGACAAAACACGTTTCAAAAATTTTTGGTTGAACTTATTTCATAGTATTAATGAAATAATGTGCTCAGAGAATTGAACAGAGTTTACATGTTCTATTAGTTTGCTCTTGAAGGATAACAGTAAGAATAACTGCTACTCAGATTAGCTACTTGCATAAATTTGGTTTTGTTAATATTAAATTTTATAATTTTTCACTAAGGATTCTATTCCATTCATTCTTACTTTCTTTCGATTATGTACACCACAGTGTGTTCTTACTATATCATTCGGGAATACTGGAGCTTTGTAATACCAGTTTTACTTCGATAGATGTACCAGTTCTCTACTTTAATTTTGGCTCTTATATTTTATATTTGAATAATATCTATAAACGTAAGAAATGGCTTAGGCTAAATGAGTCTATAAACGTCTACAAAGATCATAATCTATCTATAAACATTAGATAGATCATGGGCTGAGTGAGCTGTCTGGTTTTAAACCTTTTTGTTTTTCAAACACTTGCATTAATTTTAACTAAGCTATTGACACAACAGTTAGTGAACAAAGATCAAAATTAAGGATATTTTGGTACATTGATCAAGTTATAAAAGTTTATTTACTTAATTTAATTATTTTTATTTATTTATTCTTCTTTATTAATATTTATTATACATTATAATTTTTTATTAATATTGGTTCAATATGGACCTCAATTATTTATAAAGATTTGTCTTTTAAACGGTTTAGGTTGGTTTTTGTTTTGGTATATTAATCAGGTAATAAAATTTTATTTAATTAAATTAATTTGATTTATTTTATTATTCTTATTTATTAATGTTTATAATATATTATAATTTTTATTAATATTGGTATTGTGGCAACGCTAAATTAAAAGTGACACATAGTTTTTGACATACAGTATGAAACGAGTTAGTTATAGTTAAGCATTGTACGAGAAGAGTAAGAAATTGAAACGTGTTAAAAATAAAGGAAAAACTATTGCTTAAAATATCAGAAGTGGGATTACTCAACATTAATAAAATGTCTGACATCAAAAAACTTCAGCTTTATACTTTAGTTGAATTAAAAGCTTGGTTGGAGGAGCTTGGATGTAAAACAAGTGGTAATAAAAACGAATTAATTCGCCGATTAATTCAAATACCTGAGGAACGCCGTGGTGTTTTTCTAGGAAAAACGACAAAAATATTAAATGATGTGACGCTTACGGAACATGTTGGCGCCGACGCCGATGCATGCGCAAGCAACAACAATAGTAACTCTGAAGAAGATGACAATCATATTCTTGAGGAACAACAAATTATACAAACACATAAAAAGAAGAATCAAATGAGTGAAATTGTAAGTCAGAAACAAATGATAACAGAACAAATGACAGCGAATATGAGTCGAATGAGTGTTATGAACACAAATATTGAGCGAGAAGAAAATAATAACAGTGTCTCTGCTGCACAAGTCAATTCGTTAAAGGAGAACGAAAATGAACTCTTGAAATGGGAGCTCAAACTGTTAAAACGAGAGCTAAACATAGAAAGACGAGAAAAAGAAATTTTAATGAGAGAAAATAAAACATTAAAAAAAGAAAGCCAACAGAATGAAAAAAAGATTACGCGTTAAATAATAAAGTTAATTTTTCAACTATAAAAGAATTGCTGTCCGAATTTTCTGGAACTGGTGATAATTTTCAGCTTTGGGAAGCACAATTACAAAGTATCCGAACGGCTTATAATCTGGATGATAATAATACTAGAGCACTGATTTCTAACAAACTCAATGGAAAGGCGTTAAAGTGGCTACATACAAGAAACGATTTAATGACTGTACCAATTGAAACCCTAATAAACGATATGGGGAAACTGTTTGAAGACCGCTCAACTAAACTGCAGCTGAAACGTACATTTGAAGCCAGAAGGTGGCAAACAAATGAGACTTTTGAAGAATATTTTTACGATAAGACCATTCTCGCGGGTAAGTTGTGCATTGAAGAAACTGAGCTGCTGGAGTACATTGTGGAGGGGATTCCAGACTATGGTTTATGTTCACAAGCTAAATTACAATGTTTCCGTGACAAGTACCAACTGTTGGAAGCGTTCCACAAAATAAGTCTTCCAAAACCAGCAACACCAAAACAATCATTGACTGTTCGCCAGAACACTTCGAATGAAAAATCAACATCAGCCGATTTTGTGGTTTCTGCATCGACTCGTTGCTATAATTGCAACTCTCTTGGGCATGTTGCAGCTGAATGCCGCAAACCAAAGCGGGAGCCGAGGGCGTGTTACGTTTGTGCGCAAATGGGACATCGAGCAGCTGACTGCTCAATGAGGAAAACGCAAGTTCATTATGCCGACGCTGTTGAGGGTGATAACGAATACGTAAGAAATATAAAATTTAGTTTTAATTATTCAAATATTGATCAGTCACTTTATTTAGAATCATTAATTGACACTGGTAGTCCAATCAGTTTTATACGCCAACAGTTCGTGCCACTTGTTAAGTTAATAAATCAAGAAAAATGTAAAATTTTAAATTTTTGTGGTATAAACAAAAGTCATTTACAAATACTTGGACAAATAGTATGCACAGTTTTATATGATAATAAAAAATAAATCTTAAATTATTCATAGTAGCTAATGAAACTATGAGTTACCCAGTTCTATTAGGAAGAGATTTTTTGAAGAAAGCTAAATTAAAATTAGTAATACAACATGATCCAACTGAACATTTAATTAATTTTAATCAAAAGAATAAAGATTGTGATGAAAATACTATTAACGATTTAATGAATATTGAATACTATGAACCAATTCATGAGATTAGTGTTAATAATAGTGATGTTGACTACAATACTAGAAAGAAATTTAATATGTTGTATGAAGATTATGTAAACCGCAAACGTCCAGATGAACCTGAGATAAAGTGCGAAATGAAATTAATTTTAAATGATGATAAACCCTTCCAATACCATCCACGTAGGCTATCATATCACGAAAAGCAACAAGTAGAGTTAATTATTGACGAGTTAATGAGAAAAAAAGTTGTGAGGCCTAGTAATTCAGAGTATGCATCTCCTATTGTTCTGATTAAAAAGAAAACAGGTGATACCCGATTATGCGTAGATTTCAGAACTTTGAACAAAGTCACATTGAAAGATAACTATCCACTACCATTAATCGACGATTTACTTGATCGACTGGCGGGTAAAACTTTATTTTCATTGTTAGATTTAAAGAGTGCTTTTTATCACGTGCACATGAGTGAGGATTCTATTAAATATACTGCTTTCGTAACTCCATTAGGACAGTTTGAATTTTTAAAAATGCCTTTCGGGTTTAGAAATGCACCTTCGGTTTTCCAACGTTTTGTGAACCAAGTTTTTGACGATTTGATCAGATCAGGAAAAATAGCGATATATTTAGATGATATAATGATCGCCACGAAATCTGCTGACGAACATTTACAAATTTTGACAGAAGTGTTCGACAGACTAGTAAATAATAAATTAGAGCTGCGTTTAGATAAGTGTAGATTCATGGAATCAAAAATAAACTATCTAGTCTATATAATTTCTAAAGAAGGGATACAACCTGACGGGAAGAATATAGAATCAGTTGTTAATTTTCCAGTGCCGCATAACGCTAAAACAGTTCATAGTTTTCTTGGATTGTGTTCATATTTTAGAAGATTTATTCAACAGTTTTCATTATTGGCACAACCATTATATGACTTAGTTCGCAAGAACTCAGTTTTTCAGTTTGGA